CCGAGGCGGCGGGGGCGGCGGCGTGACGTCATCGCTGTCGTCATCCGCGTCATTCTGCTGCGTGTTTCTGGGCCCGGAGAGGCCGGGCCAGAGGCACCCCAGGAGTGGGTAGGCGGCCCCCCAAGGGCCACCAGGCCGTGGGAGGTGCGCGTGGAGCTCCAGGGCTGGAGGGGGGGACCGGAAACCTGGGCTTCAGGAGGGCAGCTCCAGAGGACAAAACTTGCAACCCTGGAATTGGGGCCAGCATTCGCTGGGGCAGTTGGCCTTGGGGGTCCTCCCTGGGAGAAGGAGCCTGTGGGTGTGCAAACCAGCGGTGTCAACTATCGCGGGCACAGGCCCCAAGTGAAATGCTTTCTTTTGCCCGCTTTGGCGTTCACTGTTGCCTGACAGCTGCCAAACTTCCCTATAGATTGTGCTTTCTGTGGGTTGACTGCCCTGCTCTTTTAGGCAAGAAGTTTGTAAATATTCTGTCAGTGCATGGGGCGTGGTAAAATGCAGCCTGGCGAACTTTGGACAAGTGCTCTTACCAGTAAAAAGTTTTAAAGGGGCTCGGAGCAGTCTTTTCAGTTACAACCTTGCATTCACCTTAAAACCAAATTATCCTGTATGTCTCTTAACACCTGTATGTATACAGTTTAACACTGGTTTCTCCCCCAGTTTTGTCCTTTTTCTTTCTCTCAACACGTGGGGCTGAATGTGAAACAAACTTACCATGAATTTCTCCTGCCTTGTAATACGTGTTCTCACCATGACACTGCATCAGTCTGTGGGCTGCGTGTGGTTTTGTTGTTGTTTTAAATCATGATCACATTTTAGCAAACCAGATGCAAGATCAGTCTGTGAAAAGACAACAGAGGCATTTCCTGTGGATTCATTTAAAACAGGTGCTGCTTCCAAATAGTCAGAAGACGTGCATGTGGGGGAGGAGGGGAGAAGGAAAGCGTATTTTTCTAGGTAAAGAGAAAGTGGTAAATCAGGAATGTTCCCCCCCCCCATGTGTTACAATCAACTCTACCCAGAAATAAATAAACCTTGCCTATTGTTTTTTAATTGGTGCTATAATTTCACTCCTAGAAATTGATATCACAAATAGAAAAATGATTCCGGGAAGATTTCACCAGCATGTTGTTTTAAGTGCCGTTGAGTCAGCAGTGATTCAGAGTGACACTGTGGGTGACAGAGCTGAACCTTGCCCACATCTGCAACATCCCAGCCCATGGTTGCAGTCACTATGTCAATCCGTCTTGACGAGGGCTTTCCTCTCTTTAGCTGACTATCTTTTCCAGCCTGACACCTTTTCCCAAGGACTGGCCACTCCTGACAACAAGCCCAAAGTATGTGAGATGAAGATTAGCAGCCTTGCTTCGAAGAACACCTAGTTGCGTGTCCTCTAAAACAGATTTGTTTGCTCTTCTGGTAGTCGGTGGGATAGTCTGTACTCTTCACCAATACCAAAATTAAAAAGCATCAATTTTTCTTCTATCGTTCTTATTTCTTGTCCAACTTTCAAATGCATAGGAAGCAATTGAAAATACCATGGCTTAGGTCAGACACACTTTAGTCTTTAAACTGACATCAGCAGATCTTCCCAAGGCAACACATCTTTTGATTTCTTGACTTGGTGTTAGTTACCAAGGATGTTGGTTATGGATTCAAATAAAATGAACTCATTGACAACTCTAATCTTTTGTCTGTCTATCATGATGTTGCCTAGTGGCTCAGCGGTGAGGATTTTTGTGTTCTTGATGTTGAGGTGTAATCCATTTGGAGGCTGTAGTCTTTGATCTTCTGCAACTAAGCGTTTCAAATCTTCTTCACAGTGTGCAAGCAAGGCTGTGTCCTCTGCATAAAACAAGTTGTTGATGAGTCGTCTCCAATCTTATTGCCACATTCTTCTTCATAAAGTCCAGCTGTACTCACTCAGCATACTGATTGAACAGGTAAGGCATAAGTACACACCCTGAATCATTAAACTGTATGAAGTCTTTAATACATGTTTATGAGTGTAAGATGGCATTCTTCATGGTTTGTCTCCCTTTCTGTAGTAGTCGGTATTCTCCAGAGAAACAGAATACATCTGTTTATTAGCATAGAACTGTTTGTTATTCAAGATTTTTTTTTAACATTTTGTGAAAATTAATTCTCTGTTTTCATTTTCAGTAGTGTGTCCATACAATGTGTTGATAAGTTTGACATTACTGAAAATACTAAGTCTTTAATACAATTTTATGCGTTAAAGATGACATTCTTCATGTTTTACATACCCTTCTGTCTTGGGGATCTCTCGTGGAGCAAAGCTAGTGTAGTGTGTTACTCAGAACCTCTCATTGGTATCAAGTTGGAATCAGCTGATAATTGACTCTCTTGCCCTCATCCCAGTGAATTTTCAGATTGTAAATCCCATGGGAGGAGATTGCTGTTCTTTCTACCTCAGAGATGCTGGTGGATTTGAACCCCCTGAGAGGTATTACCTTTGGGTTAGCAGCACATTTCCCTATGGACTATGCCATCATGGCTCTCAACTGTGTAAAACAGAGAATAACCAAACTATCCACCATCGATTGGATTCTAATTCATACCCACCCTGTAGGACCAAGTAGAACTGCCCATTGGGTTTCCAAGGCTATAAGTCTTCGTGGAAGCCAATTAACTTCTCTTTCTCCAGAGAAATGGCCGTGGATATGAATCAGGGACCTCTTTTATCCTCTAGGACCTCTTTCATGCCACTAGAGCTACTACTGTACTGTATGTAAATATCTCAAAAACTCACCGCTGTCCAGCTGGAACAGACTCATAGCTAACCTTTCAGCGAGTTTCAGAGCTGAACTGAATGCAAGCCGATTGCCCATACTGCTACCTCAGAATCACTGGTGGACTCAAATTGACCAAGAAGTTCTCTTGTTGAGTTAGCAGTGAAACTCCCTGCAGACTCCTCCGCCAGAGCAGGGAGAATGACTTTAATTTGATGTGTTACATAATTGGCAAGTCCCAAAGCCGTGCATCCTTTTATAGACTGAAGACTTCGGCAGGGTCTTAGGATTGCCGAGGGTAATAAACCCAAAACCTTCATGTCAGATAGCCAGCTAATGACTTCTGCAGGTTTATGTCCCAACACTTAGGGGAGCAGGCAGAGAAGAGAAAGAAGATGCCTTAAAGGAATTGCTCCCTACACCTAATTGGCTGATTAAATTACATCCTGGAGGAATGTTAGATTTTGTGTTACATTACATTTTTCAAGACCAATCAGGGGCCTCTGATGGTGGATTTTATAGGGAGTTGAGCTGCTAACCCAAAGGGCACGTCTCTGTTGGTTGAAATCCATGAGAAATTTAAGCCCTCTACTTCCATATGAAAACCCACTAGAACATCAGCTATGAGTTGGTTCCAGTTGGTTCCAGTAATTTTTGTTATAATCTTCAGAAATACTTGCATGTGATAGTAATGATATTGGTTTATACTTTCCACACTGTTGTATCACTTCTTTTTTATCCAACCAAAAATATTGGCCAGGTCTTGCAAATTTCTTGGCATAGACTGGTGAGTATGTCCAGGGCTACATCTCTTCCCTAAAAATCATTGTCTTCACTGCCATTGTTTCTTGATCCTATACGACTTCCTGGAATGGTTCTGTTTCGACCATTTCTTTATTGGGCAGTGACCCTGTGTATTCCTTCTATCTTGTTTTAATGCTTTCTGTATCATCCGTCATTATGGTATGTATGTACCGTAACTTTGCTGTACATCCATCCTTATGGTATATATGTACCGTAAGTACATTCATCTTTTTGGTACATATGTACCAAATGGTACAGTGACTGTATATTCCTCCTATCTTGGTTTTCCCCCTTTTTGTTATTACTATTAATTTTAATGAAAATTTTCAGAGATTTTGGATTTCCATTCATTCATTGTTACACTTTTTTCCCTGCCCAGCCCTCCCCTACAGTTCATTCTTCTCTTTGAAATGCAAAAGAAAAATTCTTTCATTGTTATACAATCCCACCCCCCAGGTCCATTCCACTATGCCCCCTTTATTCTGGACTCCTGCCATGACAATAATGAATAATCATATATACCTTTTAAACAGTTCTCTCTCTCATATCTGTTTCAATTCAGTATACATTCTTTATCCCTTCTTTCTCTCTCTTATTTTAAATGCTTCCTGGTTCATCCAAAACATTCCTGTAAATCCATCCTTCAGCTTTGCAGGGCTTGAATTTATTTTTCAGTTCTTTCACCTTGAAAAATTCAGATCATGTTCTTCCATTCTGGTTTGCTTGTTGTTGTTGTTTTTAACTCCAGTTTCTTGAAAATTTCATTTGAATACATTTCTTCATCCTCTCGAGCTGCCCTTTGAAATCTTTTTTTTTTTCCTTTTCTCTCTTACTTCAGCATTCTTTTCGTTTTGGCTTCTTTACACAGCAAAGTTCAGAGTCTCTTTCTACATTCATTTTGGTTTTTTTTCTTCTACCATATCTGTAATAGGAACGAATATGGCATGGAAACACCCGAGTCCAACCTCTTCTAACTCCACAGAGGAGAACTTTCCCTATCAGTAACATCCATAGTACCAAACTAATAGCCACAAGGTCTGACATGGCCTCCCACGCTGTTGTTGCACCTGTTGTTGTTATGTGCCATCAAATCATTTGCGACTCATAGTGACCCTATATACAAGACCCCTAAACGTTGTTCTATCCTGTGCCAACCTCGCTGTCTCAAACACATTACTTCCCACCACTCCACTCACAGAATCGATCCATCTCATCCAGGGTCTTCCTCTCCTGCGCTGTCCCTCCACTCTCCCAAACATGATGTCCCCCTCTAAGG